TTTTTGGGGAAAAAGGCGGGTCTTTTGCCCCCCTTATTTGCAAATAAGGCCCCCCTTTAGACCCCCGCTTGGGGGTTCGAGGGCTCCAAGAACTTTAGGCCTTCTTAGCCAACCCCAGTTTTATGGGACCCACAAGACATTTCATTGCTTGGCCGGGGGACGCCCGATCCGGTCCAACCAGATGACGAAGTCGGCCTTCTGACCCGCTCAATCTTGGACCGCCCCAGTCTCGCCGGGCCGCCGGCATTCAGTCCCCGGTTGGCGGGATGGCCACCACCGATGCCCTCCGCCCGGGCGAGCGAGGAGCGGGGACACAACCATTTCTGGAATCGTGTGTTCCGCACCCCCAATTCTTTTTTTTTTTCGGTTGTGCCGACCGGTTCCTGCGTTGCGTTTTTTCTCACACCACGTGCCTCTGGACCTCCGTTCACGTGCACGAGCTTCTTGAGCCACCCACCCACCCACCCACCTCACGGCCCGGCTGAGGCTTAGAACCACCCACCCACCCCACCCACCTCACGGCCCGGCTGAGGCGTGGCACCACCCACCCACCTCACGGCCCGGATGAGGCGAGGAACCACCCACCCACCCTACGGCCTGGCTGATTTGTACAGCGCCTTCTGGTCGATCGAGAGGACGAGCGCCCACGCGGAGAAGAGCATGAAAAACCACCAGTAGAGGAGCACGCGCGCGCGGCAGTAGTGCTGCTGCAGCACCGGCGCCATCTCGGCCACATTCTTGGCGAACTTGATGCCCGCCGCGGCAAAGGCGCCGTACGTGGTCGACCGCGAGGGCGCGGCGCCAAAGCGGGCGATGCACGCCTGGCGGACGGCGATGTGGATGCGATCTACCTTGCCGCCGGCGACGCCGAAGGCCGCCGCCGCCTTATGCAGGATGTCGGCGTCCTCCGGCGTGGCGCCCGTCGCTCCCTTGCTCGACGCCTCGCCCATCCCGCGCACGACATCCTTGATGATGGTGAGGAACTCCTCGTCCGTCTTCCAGCCGTTCTCCTTGCGCCCGCGCCGCGCCACCTCGAGCAGCATCCGCTCCTTGCGCGCCACACGCTGCATCTCGTAGTTGACCGCAAGCCTCAGGCTCTTGACCTGCAGACCGGTGCGCTTGATGGTCTTGCCCTGCACCTTGAGGTAGGCCGCCTCGCGCGTGGCGCGCAGCCCCTGCACGGTGCTGTCGTACCGGCTGATGAGGTTCTTCGCGCGCCCCCTGCCCATGAGCTTCTCGCGAGTCTCGCGCGGCGCGAACTTGGCGATGAGGTAGTCGAGCATCGCGCGCTCGCCACCGGTGCCGGCGCGCATCGCCGTCGCGAGGTTGGACACGTCGTCCTGCGTCAGCTCGATGCCCATGCGCTGTCGCAGCGCGAGGAGCTCATAGAAGGTGCCCACCTGCGCTGAGACGTCGGCGTCGTTGGCGCCCGCCATGTTTGGCAGCAGCGCGACGCGCCACGAGCCAGCGCTCTGGACGGGGAGGCTGATCACGTTGAGACGCTCGCGGATGAAGTCATAGACCCTAACCCAGGTGCCGTGGTGGGCCCGCAGAGACGCCAGGAGAGCGGCCCGACCCTCATCTGCGACGGAAAAGTTGTAGATCTGGAAAAACTCGGGCACGTACACGCCCTCACCAAACTTGCTCCGCAACGAGAGCAGCACCAGCTGCTTCCATTTGCAGAACTCGAGAGCCACGTCCGAGAGCAAGGCGCCGTGTTGCATCTGCACGAACGAGCCCGCAAACGCGAGCCCCGTGATGTCTGCCGGGTGCTGTCCAGCGCTTCGGGCGTAGTTGCCCTGCGTGAACATCCCATCATGGAAGCACCTTCGAAGCGTGACGGCCTCCTCGTCGTCGAGCTCGGCGGAGACGAGGGTCGCCTCGCGCTTGAACCACTCGAGCTGGTGTGGGAGCGGTGTAGCACTCGTCGAGCGTAACAGCTGTCCGCCCTTGGACGACTTGTTGAGCGCACCGTGAGGCACACGGCAGCCGTCGGGGAGCGCGATCTCGGTCAGCTTGTTCCGTGGGCACGGTGCGAGGAACGACATGGTGTGGCAACGACGGAGCTGTGCCTCGAAGCGCGCGCCAAGGGAGAGAGAAACGACAAATCACCCACCCACCCACCCACCCAGCCACCCACCCACCCACCCACCCACCACCCACCCACCCACCACCCACCATCCGGGGCCTACGAAGCGTTTACCCACCCACCCACTTTTTCAAGAACGGCGGTCCAGAGGCACGTGGTGTGAGAAAAAACGCAACGCCGGGGCACGGCGGAGCGTGATCAAGAAGAAATCGCGCACGTAGCTTAAGTTAAGAATAAAAAGAAAAATCTCTTCTCGCGCGCTCGCTGCGCAGCAAGCACAGCCTGAAGGCAGCCGTCGCCTGCGCTGCAACCGACATGGCGGGAGCTCGATTCACCAACTTGACCGACGCGATTGAACCGCGCGACGGTGCCGAGCCACGCGTTGGCGACGACAAGCGGCAGGGCATCCACCGGCTGTTTGGAACGACAGAGTTTTGCAATGTCTGGTGCGTTTCCTTTTTATGTTGCGGGTCCACCGGGACCGGCGGCAACAGCTCTGAGGACCCATGCGGCTGGCGCAGGTGGTGTGTGCCGCTCAACGCGCTCGGCCACAGTGGCGTCGACCGCGACTCCATCCCGGCGGCGCGGGGGCTGCTGCAGCGGCTGAAGCTGCACGTCGACCCAATCCTGCGGCGGCGCGGGTGGCGCGTCAAGCACTTGCACGAGCACAATGGCCGCGGCCCCGGCGGCATGTGCTACCACGACCTGCAAGGCACGGCGGACATCTCGATCCGCCTGCGCGCCGTCGCAGG